AGTAGGAGTAGCAGCAGCAGGAGCAGGAGCGGTTCGTTGGAGTGGGTAGAGCAAGACGAAGCGGAAGGGGCAGAAGAAGTGCAAGAGGCAGTCCGAACGTCTCGATGTAGATATGATTTGGGCACTCCGACGATGCCTTTTGTGCCTTGTCAGTGCATCTCACGCATGAAGCATGCGAGCTTGCTTTGTAAAGCCACTTGCACATTGAGCAGACGCGGCAGGAATGGTCGAGCGTGCGCATGCAGCAGATCAAGGATGTGGTGGCTTGGGAACTGGACAGGCTGTCGCAGGACCTGCATGAGTACCTCGCCAAGGACTGTAGTTATTTGCCCCCCAAAAAGAGTCATTCCCCCAAGCTGCTTGGCCGTCGCGCAATATCTGGTGTAGCCAGCAAGCTCAGCACCAAGACTTCGCTCGAGACCAGGGTTTCCAACACATCACCAATCTTTCTGAGGCAGGTTTTCGGTTCCCAGCACCCGTTTTCCAACCTGCTGGGACCTGCGAACAGGCAGGGGGCCTGTTTCCGGCATTCGAGTTACAACTTTAATTTCATCTGCCTTGTGCGTTACACAGGTGACCCAGATTGCGAGCTCAGCTAGTACATGCTAGCTAGCTAGAGCTAGAGCATGCTAGAGCTACTTGCTGCACCATATGCCATATGCTACAGTGCACTCAGTACACTGTCAGTATTTTGAGCTTTGTTTTGGCAAGCATTCCTGCAGGCACTCTCGTGCCCCGAGAGTAAGCGAGCTAGCGGCCGAGCTGGCTCCGCCACTCTTTGACAGTGGAGTCCCTGGAGGCTGTGCTGCAGTTGGCCTCGTCAGATGTAGCATCTCGAAAAGTGTCAGAAACTTCCTGTCCTGCTGCAAGAGACATGAGAAGACCGCACAAAGTTTTGTAAAGGGTTCCTTAACACTTGCTTGATGCAGATCCCCACCTCAGCACGAAGCTGGAGCCCCTTGGCAGATGGCAGCAATCGCGATAAGGTTCGGGCTGCTTGTCGTCGACCAAACTGAGGTTTCTTGTCTTGTTCGTTGATTTTCCTCCACCCAGGTCGAAAGAGTCTTCGGCTGATGCTGGCCTCAAAGCCAAACGCAGCTCACCGAAACGCAATGTGTTCTTGGCCTAGCTGGTTGCTGCTGGTCCGTACTTTGGATGGGAGTCGGTCCGACTTACTTCGAAGAGCTTCGGAAAAGACTGCGATACAATGGACTTGCTGAGAATCCGAATGAGGCCCGTTGCACCAGCGGGAGGAGGGGGAGGGGGAGTAGTACTAGTCATAGTGGTCGTCGTAGTGGCAGTCGAAGTAGGAGCCGCAGTTGCTGGCCTCTTGAGCAGTAGTAGTGCTAGCAGTGCAAGCATTAGTAGTAATTAGTAGTAGTAGTAGTAGTAGTAGTAGTAGTAGTAGCAACGTTGTAGTAGTAGTAGTGGTAGTAGTAGTAGTAGTAGTAGTAGTAGTAGTTGTAGTAGTAGTAGTAGTAGTAGTAGTAGTAGTAGTAGTTGTATAGTAGTAGTAGTAGTAGTAGTAGTAGTAGTAGTAGTAGTAGTAGTGGTAGTAGCGGTAGTAGTGGTAATAGTGGTGGTACTAGTAGTAGGCCGTCCCCCCCCGGTGCGGCACCCACACCTCTTAT